GATAACATTCCCAGACTTGGCCCTTGGCAGCAGCTCAGCCTGATGCCGCCACAGTCATGGTGGCAGCACAGGCCTCTCAGATCAGCACAAGCCCAACAGAAGCATGATTTCCAAACATCAAATGCTCCCAGGTGGCTAGTCAGACCACATATATTCCCAGAGCCCATAGTGACAACTGGAGCCAGGACACCACCCCAGCCTCCAGCCTCCATAGCATCAAGGATCCAGACATGGCCTGAGGCAGGAGTCATGCCCACATGTCTCCACTGCTGGAGGTGGCAGCAGCATAGCCCCTAAAATGGCAGGGTCCTAGGACACTGACAGGTCCGAGATGGATGGTCAGACTCCGGTCCTCTGCATTATTCTCAGTGACAACAGAAGCTACAGACGTCAGCTCAGACCTTAACTGTTATAGTAGCATCACAGACCAAGACATAGTCCTCTGCAGCAGCCTTAGCCTGGACAACACCATGGCTCTGGGTGACAGCATAGGTCATGCTTATTAGGATGTCCCTAATCAACTTGACTCTTGGATACTCTCATGAACAGATAGGAGCCCAGACCCTGGGCACCTATGTGGACTCTGGTAACAGCATGGGCCACAGACATTAATACAGACCCTGGCCACAGTAGGACCATGGACCCAAACATGGTACTAAGCAGTAGCCTAGGCCCAGATAACACTATGGTCCAAAGTGGCAAAGCAGGCCATATGGACTGGCAAGACTACCACATGAACAATGGCCCTCGGATATCAATATGGCCCCAATTGGCAGCCTAGACCCCTGACATTGGTATGGTCTTCGATGGTTTCAGGAGCCACAGACATCAACATAGATCCTGGATGTAGTAGGGTCACACATTCAGACCTGGCCCTCAGCTGCAGCATTGATCCAGATGACATCATGACCCCAATTTACAGCCCTGGCCACAAAAATCAGCCTGTCACCAGTCGTGGCTCAGTCCTCAGAAACCAACATGGTCATGGATGGCAGACCAGACCTTGTACATTCAAGTGAGCCCTGACATCAGCAAGTAATATATCTTGGTAATATCCATCTATCACTACCTCCCGCTAACTCCTGTTAGTGGTCCCACCACGCTGTCTCCCTCCTAAACTTCATGACTCCTTTTATTGTTATTAATAATCTGAGTCTAATTACTATTACACATATACACACAGGTGTGTAGCTATCCACTGGGGTATAAAACAACCAGTGGCCATATCGTTAAAAGAGGGTGACTCTTCATCCCTCAGGAATCATCAACTGCTAGCAGCTCTTCTTCTAGGGGTGGGGACTTGGGAGCCCCTCCCTTATTCCTGCAATGTTTTTATCTTGTGAAGGTAAAAAGCATATAAATAATGGTTAAATGTGCCCATATGTGCTCTCTCTCTCTCTCTCTCTCTCTCTCTCTCTCTCTCTCTCTCTCTCTCTCTCTCTCACACACACACACACACACACACAAACACACACACATACATACAAAGACACACACACAACATATTTATTCTTTTACAGGTTTAGAATTTTAATATTAGAGCCTAACCATGTAAATTTTGGTGCTAATTGGACCTTCATTAAAATAATGCATGCACCCTCTATATTTAAAGAGATATTAATATTGAAAATCAGAAGATGATTGGTTTTGACTTGGGTATATTATTTTACAGAAAACTACAAAACAGATGTGTTTAATTGCTATAATTACCTGTGGGTATACAATGAAATTTATACCTAGCCTTACAGTGCACATAGACATTGTCATTGTTAATTTCAATTTCCATTCTCCTAATACGAAGTTTTTAAGTTAGTGACAAACAGTCCCTGGTGTAGAAAGTTCTTCTGAAAATGTGTTGCTTTTATTGGTTAATAAAGAATCTCTTTTTGGCCTGTGATAGGGCACAGTAGAGATAGTGGGGAAAACTAAACTGAATGCTGGGAGATAGAAGGCTGAGTTGCAAGACCATGTAGCCCTGCCAGAGTCAGACATGGCATGGAACTTTACCTGGCAAGCCACAGTCATGTGACAATACAGATTAATGGAGATGGGTTAGTTTAGGATATAAGAGTTAGCAAGAATTAAGTGGCCATACAGTATTTAAATAATATAGTTTCTATGTAATTATTTTGGGTTTGAGCTGCCAGGAATGAATGAGAGGCCTCCCCCCAAAAGTTTCCCTTTCCTTGTTTTTTCTGCTACTTTCAACTGCTAGCCAAAAAGTAGAAGGTGGACATCCAGGTGTTAGAAAATGCCTACATCTTTTCCCTTCTCTCTACCAAGACACTGATTTCTTAATGCCTTCCTGCATTGCACCCATCTACAATCTCTCTTTGTAACCTGTTTAAATAAAGGCAAAGTTACTCCCTCTGATGTTGCAAGATGAAACATATTAAAATATGACTTTCATAATATCTTCTGCTTAGCAGTTTCCACAAGATCATTACAAGGAGATTATGAAATGCATTCCTCTTGTTTCTTAAAGCTATCCCTGAGCTGTCCCTGGCCTTGTTTCCTGGCATTAATTTCTACTCCTCAATACAAAATAAGTATTCATCCATCAGCTATCCTCTAGAATTCTTGCTTTCTCCACTCCAACCACCTAGTTTATGCCTCTTCCTCTACCTTTCTTGGGCTGCCCTGCTTCTTCTCTATAATATAAAGGATGTAACAGACAAGTATGTAACAAGAAAAAAATAACAGCAAAAATTATATCTTCTCTGACAGCAGTATTCATGGCTCAGATGATTGCAGCAAATACTTGATAATATCAAATCCCTCATTGGACCATCCACTTAGTAATAATCTTCAACCAATCTTTCAAGGCATAATTGTATGACAGTAGATCAATGATCAGAAGATACAATAAGCTACTCTCCTGGAGTTTATATTAGCAATAATAACATAAAAGTATATCATGTTGAATGAAATTACCTGAGTGCTGTGTATAAAAGCAGCTTTAGTGTTTGTTTAGGGTTTGGGGAGATGACTCAGTAGGGTACTTGCTAGGCTATTAAGGTTTTAAATTCTGACATATCACCCACACAAATGCCAGCATGACAGTGTAGACCTATAATCCTAACTCTTTAGAAGTGGGAGAGGGAGAGTAAGAGATTCCTGGGGCTTTCTGCTCAGCCAGTTTACCTGATTTGGGAGAGACAGATGATAAAAAAGGAATATGAGAAGATGAATGATAAAAGAAGATTCCAGACACAGTCATATGAACATATGAGAGAGAGAGAGAGAGAGAGAGAGAGAGAGAGAGAGAGAGAGAGAGAGAGAGAAACAAAGCATGATAGTGAGAGTGGATTTGCTGTATCTAATCTAAAATAGAAGACTGTGGGGAGCCAGGCCATTTAAACTTCCACAGAATAGCAAAGAAAATCTCTGTTGATAACAAGTCAGGAAGAAGACAAATGTTGGGATTTTCAACATGGTGTCAAAGAAAAAGTGTACTGGATTTATCAGATAGTCTAAATACAAGTAAATAATAAAGGGAGAGATCATTCAGATGATGCTTTTAAGGTTCTGGGCTCAGGTCATCAAGTGCAAGGGAGCTTCCTGCCTCTCATTACTCTCCAGGGCCCAGGTGGTAACAGAGAGCCAATTTCAAGTTCCCCCATATACATCCACATGCTCCCCGTGACGCATATATGCGTGTGCCCCCCTGCCCACTAAAAAAATAACATTTTCAATGCTTAAGGACATTTTCATATCTGAGAAAGAAGAGAAAATAGACAGAAAAGTGTTGAAATATGGAGGGGCGGCGGGGTTGCATCCCCAACACCCCAGCCGCTTGGCTAGCTCACGCCCGAAATAACAACACACAAACTGTATTCATTTAAAGAACTGCTTGGCCCATGAACTCTAGCCCTTACAGGCTAATTCTCGCACCTGGTCTAGCCCATTTCTAATGATGTGTGTAAGCACCCCAAGGTGCGCTTACCGGAAAGATTCTAGCCTAAGTCCATCGTGGGTTGCAGCTGCCTGGGAGAGCTGAGCATGGCGTCTCTGCTCCAGCAGAGCTGTCGGGTCTCTCCGGGAGCAGAGCAGAGTCTGACCTCACTTCCTCTTCCGCCCAGAATTCTATTCTGTTTACTCCTCCCATCTATGTTCCAAGCTGAGGCCAAGCAGTTGGTTTATTATAACTTAACCAATGAAATCAACAGATTGATATATGACACTCCCACATCACTTCCCCTTTTTCTGTTTAAAAAAAAAAAAGAAGGCTTTAACTTAACATCCAAAACTCTAGAAATGACAGAGACATCTCGCTGCCTGGACAGTCACCCAAAGTTCCTCTGTACCGTTGGGGCATCCATCTTCGGCCTACAGGCCCATAGTTTCCAGCAGACATTTCCACAAAGCAGGAAATTTCAAAGGCAGTCACTATCTGCTTGTCCTGAAGAATGTCTTGCAGACTCTTTCATGAATCAGGAACCCCGAAAGATCATCTCACCTTTAGGCAAGTTCAGCAGTCCTCTCTCTGCGGGTTCTCTGTGTCCAGTTTATGCAATAGTCCAGGCAAGAGCAGTTTCTTGCCCAAATGGCTATCAAACTCCATAAGGATCCTCTTCGATGCCCATCTTCCTCTTGAAGTAGATTGGTGCTGCCAGGAGCAGAGTGTCTCATTGTCATGAAAAGTCCTAAGTTATTAAAACATGTAAAATGCCATATTCTCTAGCCTTTGAAAGATATGAAGAATGCCTATCTAAAATATATCTATGCACATCTAGAAAATCTTAACTAACATAACTACAAGCTTAACTACTATTAATGATTATTCATTAACAACCTATATACATTCAAAATTGACCTTAAATCTCTATCAATAAAGCAAAATCTATACTAATGCAAATTATTCATATCTATATCATATCCCCCTTTAAATGTAAAAGAACATTTATAAACCATATTTGGGAACATGGGCGCAGTTTTTTCTCTCCAAACTGCTTCCTGCTGAATGGGGGCGTCGTTAATTAGGTCTTTCATGGTATAACCTGTGTGCTAGTTTCATCTCAGTTGGCAGTTGAGCGAAGCAATTTTCTGAAGGTATTCACAGCAACCGTTCAGGAGGGCGTGGTCCATCATACCATATCGGAATAGAAGAAATGAACAGGGTCTCATCCTCTGTGAAAACAAAAAAAGAAACTCCTTTCCAAAGTATCATGTCCTTAGATCCAAATTTCAAAGTCAAGGCATCAAAATCTCTACGATGGATTAGTTCAGCAGCATTTATAAACAAATATCTTTTAGCAGCTGTTGCTCCTTCCTCAGCATTCAAACAATTCAAAGAGAGCATAATAGTATACAGTATCAAGATTCTCTGTGTATTTTCCATCTTTGTACGCTTTATTTTAACCTCTATTTCGTTTATTTTTACTTTTATATTCTCTGTATCTCTTTGACCTGGAATAACTCTGTAGACCAGGCTCTCCTTGAACTCTCAGAGATCCGCCTGTCTCTGCCTCCCAGGCATTGGGATTAAAGGTGTTTGCTACTACACCTTGAACTCACAGAGATCTGTTTGTCTCTGCCTTCTAGGCACTGGGATTAAAGGCGTGTGCTACCACACCTTGAAGTCACAGAGGTCAATCTCCCTCTGCCTCCCAAGTGTTGGGATTAAAGGCGTGTACTACCACACACAACTTCTCTTTTTCTTTCTTTTTTTTTAAGAACTTTTAACTTTTAGCTTGCATATATTTTTAACACACTGTAAATCATTTAAACATTTTCTTTGTCTTTGAATCTCTTTACTGTATATCTCTCTTTTTCTGACCACACGAGCCTTTAAATTACTGAGCAATATGAGTAGGATTAAAGCCGTGGCTTTGCCAGCTAGATCCAGTCCATTCCTTAGCTTTCCAGCCTCGTGGCGGAGATACAGGCTGTAGCCTTGTTTATAGACACAATTCTATGGCGTTTCAAGGTCCCTGCCAGCCAGCGAGCTACAACAGACAACAGTCAAGTCGTCTCTCGGTAGTTGGCTCTCCTGCCTCAGTCAGAGTTTGCCCTGGCAGGACGGCCCAAAAAGCCAGCATTTTTAAACGGCGCAGCTTTTTTCCTGCTATAGCTGAAAACCGAAAAGCATGCGTTCAGCTTTTTGTCAACACCATTTAAGTGTTCGTGGCAGGACCTCTTAATGAGCTGCAGGGTTTTGCAGCTGAAGCTGAGTCAGGAAGCCTCTCTTAGATGAGAGTGTTTGCTTGCTTCTAACAAGCAGAGCAGACCCAAGAAATTGCTGCTATCAAGAAAACATGCTTTACTCTTTCCCAAGCTTTTTCAGGCTTTCTGTGGATTCAGTTGTCCACAAGTCTGGGCGCCATCTGTTGAAATATGGAGGGGCGGCGGGCTTGCGTCCCCAACACCCCAGCCGCTTGGCTAGCTCACGCCCGAAATAACAACACACAAACTGTATTCATTTAAAGAACTGCTTGGCCCATGAACTCTAGCCCTTACAGGCTAATTCTCGCACCTGGACTAGCCCATTTATAATAATGTGTGTAAGCACCCCAAGGTGTGCTTACCGGGAAGATTCTAGCCTACATCCATCTTCATCGCGTGTGCCTCAGAGAGCAGAGCTATCGCGTCTACCTGGGAGAGCTGAGCATGGCATCTCTGCTCCAGCAGAGCTGTCGGGTCTCTCTCCTGAAGCAGAGCAGAGTCTGACCTCACTTCCTCTTCCGCCCAGCATCCTATCCTGTTTACTCCTCTCATCTATGTTCCAAGCCATGAGGCCAAGCAGCTGGTTTATTATAACTTAACCAATGAAATCAACAGATTGATATATGACACTCCCACATCAGAAAAGGATTAGTACTTTGAGAAAAAAATGGCCTGCATTTTCACATGTTTACCTTAGTCCTCCTGTTAAAAGTTCAAATCAAAGATTTTGGGGGACAGTGGAATAGGAGTTGACAGAGCATGGAGGCCACTGATGATCATTAGGTGACACATGGCAGAACTAAACGGTGTCATGTTCCATACTTTAAGATAAGCCAGTAAGCAAAGTCAAGCTGGGGCCATACACATTTCATTAGAAGTTTAGGGAAACCAAGAACTACATGGGAAGCCAATTACATCTCTCAGAAAGGAACACAGGCAGGGTCGCTTTCAGTTCAGCCTCATGCAGCAGATGGTGACCGGCATCACACTGATGGCTGGAAGCTTCTTAACTAGTTTCAAACCTCACTCTGCCCATCTACCCAGAGCCTTCCACAGAACTGGCCTTCAGTAAACACTCATTAACTGGAAGCTCTTGTCACCGCTGCATCCGACTGTCAGGGAAAACTTTACTATGACAAGTCTCCTGGAGAAGGCAGCACCCTGGCTGGTCTTGGCAGTAATTTGAAGGCACTACATCCGATACGCACTCTGAAAGTCCTCCAATTAGTATAAATCCTTCAGGTATGGTGCCCATTTCCAAGCACAAAGTGGCTGTGGCTAAGTGGCGATAGATATTCATCCTAGCCCCTATCTTTTATTCATGTTCACTTTAGTCACATTTACCGGTTGAGGAGTCTATTACTTCAAAATGCCTCCCAAGAGGAAGAAACGGGTACTAAATAAATCAGTGTATATCTTAAGTATCAAAGAATATTCCATATGAATTTTTTCCTTAGGTTTCCGGGCCAGAAAGCAACCTAGTATTGCTAGAGAAAAGCAAAGGGGGCAATTTTTTTTTAAAAAAAGAGATGTTCCATCATTTCTACATGAACCCTGGATATTATATGGTGCTCACAATAACCCTCATAGATAGGAGACTGTGGGTGACTTAATAAAACTCATTCCCTGAAAAGACTCAAATGCATTCTAGTCCCAAGCTCCTAGTTCACAATATTTCAACAGTCACTGTTTAGAAGTCTAAGAGAGAAGCAAACTTTTCCACTGGCTGCCTCCTTGCAGGCCCGATGACCTTTATAAATGACAGCAAATCTCAGTTGAATGAAAGATGAAGGCAAAGAGGAAAACATTAAGATGTTTTGTCCTATTTTTTTGTGACTTGTTGAAAATAATCATGGGGCCTATTTGTCACACTGCAGCTTTGCCTCTTTTTTTCACATCTCATTTGACAAGCTCAATGAAAAAAGTGTAAAAGAAGATGAATTGGCAGCAGCGTCATTGCTGCTCTGTCTCCTGGTCATTCTAATTTTTCTTCAGATGAAATATATATACAATACCAAGTCAGTTAAGTGGAAGAAACATCTACAGGGAGAAGCAGAGTAACCAAGTCCTTTCTCTAGTCTAGAAACAGCTATTAAAAAATATCTGTCTCTTTCACTTTCAATAGCTTAGGCGTACTGCTAGTCTATGTCTGTGAGATGAAAATGTGTTTTCCCTTGGCAAAGAGGAATGACAGACGGTTCAGGAAGGAGGGGACTAAAGGACAATGGAGGAAGGGACAGGGAACTGGAGCTAAATAAATACTGGCAAAAATAAACCAAGATAAAGATTCAATTCTACAAGATAATGTCAGGAAATATCTTACACTCAAAAATGTAATAGTAGAGAATGAAATATATGTGTAGATTAATCTAAAAGTTAATCAAGTTGGGGAAGTATATCACAGGGTCAAAGGACCATCATGCAGAAAGCTTGGTCGCATTGTGCTCTACCAAAGGTATAGGAAGAATAATTATCCCTTAGTGAGATAATGTATTTTTCCTGCCCAGGACTCATACTGTCTGTGCAGTCCAGATCTGGCATGAAGTTCTGTTCAGTTTGCCCACTTTACAGAGTCCTGTCTCAGAAAGTTGTAACTCTTCATTTTTCTTTTCTTGTGCTCTCTTTTTCTTTCTTATACCTGCCCAAAGCTACAGTTGACTTTGTCTTGTACTCTGGGATTTTTCTTCACTCTTGCTCAAATCTCACATCTCCGTTCTGTAGCTGCTTATAGCTGCATGTCTATCATGTGCCTAACCTCCATGCCAGCTTAATGAAATAACATGGCTTTTCCACTTTCTTTTATCCATCTTCTTCATCCGAGCAGATGCTGAGATATACAGCTTGCCTGTACATCCCTGTAGGGCTTTTCATTGAAAACTTTTGTCCCAGAAAATATTTATACTCTCCTCTCCCTATGAATGTGTAAGTATGCATTTGTTCAGAATTTGCAGTACTAAATATTATGTCCATGAAACTAAATTGATGACACAGGTTCCTTTACAGGTCCCCTACATTACCTGCTCTAAAGATCCCCTTCCTTTTACCTTGGTTGAACTAGAATGTTCCTATTTAATAACTCACCAACAGGAAGCCACTTCTTTAGGATATTCATTGCTGAGCTTTCACCTTCTTATGTGTTACTCATGTAAAGCTAAATTCTTGATATTTTAAGAAAGACTGGTTTCCTGAAATTGTAGTCAAACATTTTAGTAAGTTTTACTTTGTCTTTATAAATACTTCAATGAGGGGGGCCCATCATTATTACCTAGTATCATCGCTAATAGTCACTTACTGATTTTTATGATATTCATATTTCTCACTTCTATGTGACAGTTGATTGCTTTTCATATTGTTACTGTCCTCTTATTTATACTAGTATTTAAATAAACTAGGAAAGTATCTTCTTTTAGTCCTTTATTTCCCAAGGAAAAGTTGACTGAAACTTTCTTGTAATCTGTGGCAGAACAATTAAATTACTCTTCATTGTTATGTGATTTTACAACATTGGGATTAAAGGACAGACCAAAGAAATCATGTATGCAAGATATCTGCCCTGAATCAGATAATTGACCCCAAGAAATTCTAGCTTATTTCAGTCAGTGAAGAATCACATTAGAAGCAGTATAACAACTCTACATTTTTGTAAAATCTGTACATAATCTACATTAGGTATATTGATATTACATGAAGAAGGATTACTCTGGTAACTGCTCCACCTAGTCCACAATGTTCTCATCTCTGTGTGTGTCCAGTATGTAAATTCATGCAGTGGTGCAGAAGAATTGTCTATATTCTGTCAATCATGTTTTAAATAAATGCTGATTGGTCAGGCAGGAAGTATAGGTGGGTAAAACAGACAGAAAGTAGAACAGGAGAATACTGGAAAGGAAGAAGCTCATTCCTCACAAGTCCAGCCCAGACCACCGAAGAAGCAAGATGTGAGCTGCCCTGCAGAGAAAGGTACATAGTCATGTGGCTAACATAGAAGGATCATGGGTTGATATAAGTTATGAGTTAGCAAGAAGCCTGAGCCAATCAGTTTTATAACTTATGGATATCTCTCTGTGATTTTTCTTTGGGGCTTGTCAGCTGTGAGGTACCGGGAAGGACAGAAACCCCAACAAGCAGGGCCTCATGTTACAATGCAATACCTATGTAGCAGACATGAAAATAAAAGTTTGGATTAAAAAAAAAAGAAATTAACTAAGAGCTTCTTAACATGAAACCTTTTGGTGAATAAAAACATCACAACTGCTTGTAGAATATCTTACCATTTTGGTTTTTGCTTATTGAATTGTCTTTCATGGCTTTCTCATCCTTCTTTCCTTTATCACACTGGACCACCAGCACAGGGGTGCCATCATCTGCAATGGGTTGTGCCCTTCAACACCAAGAAATGTTCTACAGACTGGCCAATAGGCCAGTTTTGTGAAGGCATTTTCTCAATTGAGATTCCTGCTTCTCATATGATTCTAGCTTGTATCAAGATAAAATAAGTATACAAAATTTCATAAGATCATAATTAAAAGCTGACACCTTTGTCTATTACTGTTGCTTTGGCAATAACCTTTCTCTTAAATATTTATTCTTCTTTATTTTGTGAAATAAAGCCTCAAAAAGAGAATCTAGCAAATGTCTTGATAAATTTATTGCAAATTAATACAGGGAAAAAAACAGAATGACTTATTAGAAAGTAATAAATGTACATCTGCTAAAATGATTAATTATTTTCTATAATGCTGGAATATTAAAAGGTGGCAATTAGTCATCACTTTTATTTTTCTCTTTCCTTGGACAAAAGCAACTTAACCAAGTGGGGATGTATTTTATTCACAAGTTAAAGATAAAGTCCCTTATGGTGAGGAAGATGTAATGGTGGGAGTTTGGTGAAGAGACCACATTGCTTCTACAGTAAAGATGAAGAGAGAGGTGGGTGCTTGTACTCAGCTCACTTTTTCCTTTTATTTCAGTCTAGGACAATATATCATGGAATAGTGCCACACACATTCACTGTGGCTCTTCCTTCCTCCTTTAAATCTCTCTGAAAAGGATTCACAGACCTGTCCAGATGTCTGTCTTATAGTTGGTTAGATAATACATTATGTTGATAACAAGATTAATGATCACACCTATGAAGAACTTTTGCTTAAATGCCAAGTCCTTATCTCTATCAGCTCAAGGAACTAGTGAAGAAATAATAAAAAAAAAACTCAGAATACA